ATTATAGAGAGAGAAAATCCCCCTCTGTGGGTGTTCACGTTCTTCATACCCTCCTCCGCGAAATTCAAGTTTGGATCCATTTGCGTAGGCACCAAGTATTAATGGAAGGAAACGTACCAGATTTTCCATCAGCTCTGGTTTAAGTTTTGGAGTGTCTAAGCGATAGCAGCCATAGTTTTCTTCGCGTTTTTTCTTCCTTTTGGTCAAGATGGGATAGCGTTTTTGTTTTCTTCTGTTCTGAGTTTCTGCTTCGTTTGATAGTTGAGTCTGATTTCTTTTCTTTTTTTTTTCCTTTCTGTCTTTGTTAGGTTCTATGAGTTCTAGAACTTGTAGGAGGCATTGAACAGGACTCTGTCTATTCTTGTTTGTACTGGCCGGAGAGCTTCCTGGAATCGACGGAGTGATATCTGTGGGAGGGACCATGGAAAATATTGAAGATGTGTTGAGAAGGTTTAAGTTGTCTGAGGAGGAAAGGGAGGGAATTCGATTGGATGAGAAGGAGGTGGCAAAAGAAATTCTGGAATGTAAACAAAGCTTGATTGGTAAGGTGTGAGGGACAAGTTGGCTAATATAGGGGGGATCAAGAGCTTTGCAACCAAAATGTGGTCTCAGGTGAAGCATTTAAAGGTTGTTGAGATTGGCCGTAACCTATTCCAGTTTATCTTTGATAAGGAAAGGGATATCGAGATGGTGCTGAGTAGGAGGCCATGGATCTATGATAGCCAACATTTAATACTGAAGAGGTGGGAGGCTGGTTTGGAGGAGGATGAGAAAGCGTTAAGTATAACTCTTATCTGGGTACAGATCTGGAATATACCATTACACTGGGTTACGAAGGAAGCTGGAAGGAAGATAGGCAGTATATTTTCAAAAGTGGAAGAGGTGATTCTGCCTCAGAGTAAAGGGAAGGAAGGGAAACACTTGAAAATTTTGGTGGAAATTGACCTGTTTGTTCCACTTCCTAGAGGAGTAATGGTTAACAGCAATGGTAGGAAGAGATGGATTGAGTTCAAATACAAAAAATGCCCAGATTTTTGCTTTGGATATGGTCTAATTGGTCATGGTGAAAGGAATTGTAGCAAAAAAGGAATGAACATAGGGAGGAAATCACAGTTTGGGAATTGGCTAAGAGCAAGCTATCCTCGTAGTCCTAATAGGAGGACTAGGAATGGAGATAGGAGTGGGGATAGGCATGAGGAGATGAGTCGAACACAGGACAGTGGGAGGGAGTAGGGGGAACATCAGTTTCTGTTAACATACACTAAAGAATTCCACAAGAAAGAGGATCATAAACAATCTGCCCCGGGGGAATGACATAGGGACACTGCAGAGATAAGGGAAGTGGAGAAGAGGGTACTGGTAGAGAGGGGGACTGAAGAGATTGCAGAGAATAAGAGGGAGGGGAGACAGGAAAAGGGAGGGGTAGAGGAGGCCAGGAATAGGGATTCTGGGGGGGACAGGCTGGCAGGGAGATAGAGACACAGGGACTTGCAGGGGGGATAGGGTCAGAGGGAGTTAGGGAAGAATCTGATGATCTGATGTGGCTGGATGGTGTTGGAAGGGAGGGAAATGAGGATAAGAATGCTAAGAAATGAGAGGAAGAGAGGGAGGGGGAGATAGTATCTGAGGTGGGGGAAAGAAAAGGTAGGCTGGTTAGGGAGAAGAGTAGGAGTAAAGGGAACTATACGGGTGGTAAGAGCTGAAAAAGATTGGTACTGGAGGTAAACAAGAGGAAACCATTGGGAGAGGTCAATAAAAAGGGTGCTGGAGTGGAGAAGGGAAAGAAAAAAATGGAAGTGGCAATGAATCAGACAAGCAAAGAAAATGGGAAGAGAATCAAGCTTGAGAATGGACTGAGTGACTGGATGGATCTCGCTGAGGGATTGGAGTCCTCCCTAAATGGGACTCCAAGGTTGATATGAAGGCTGTGGTGTGGAACTGTCGAGATATGGAGAGCCTCTTGACAGTTCCCTAGTTGAGGGAGGTCATCAGACTCCACTCTTCTTCTTTAGTGTTTTTGTCAGAAACAAAGAAGAAAAAAAGCTATTCGAATAAAGTAAAGTAGTGGACAAAATTTGATAATGTTTTTGTGGTTGATCCTGTGGGTAAGGCAGGAGGTTTAGCTGTATTTTGGAAACAGGAACTAATGGTGAAAAAGGTGTTGTTTACAAGTTTCACTATAGAGTTATTAATAGAAGATGATGAAACTAGAGTAAACTGGTGGTGTATCTGTTTATACGAGCTCTGATGCTGCTGTTAGAAGAGAGCAGTGAAAGGTTGTAACCAGAAGAAGTGTCTTATGGGGTGAGTACTGGGCAGTCATGGGGGATCTAAATGATATTACTTCTAATGAAGAGAAATAGGGAGGGTATTCAAAGAGCTGAGGTAAGGTTCCAAGACTTCGACTCTCTCATAAATACTAATGAGTTAGTTGATATTGGATTTGAAGAGATTCCTTGGACCTGGTGTAATAACTGGGGGAATGAGGGAGAAGTAAAGGAAATGTTAGATAGAATTTTGGGTACTAGAGGCTGGATAGGGATGTTTGATAAGGCTAAATGTTTACATGTTGAAATTGAGACTTCTGACCATTGTATGCTGATTTTGGACACAAAGCCAGTGGGAAGGAAATGGAAGAGAAGGTTTTTGTTTGATAGAAGGTGGATGATGCAGGAGGATATAAGGGAAGTTATTGGGAAAGCCTGGGGTGAGGAGCAACAATGATCCAGATTGTATAAAGTAAAATGTAAGATAAAAAAGGTTAAAATGGATTTGCTGAGTTGGAGTAAAGGGAGTCGTTGGAACTCAAAAAAACAGATTGAGCAAGTAAAGAGGGAGATTGGGGAGGTGAAGGAGCATAGACCTTGTGGCTATATGATCAAGCTAGCAGGCCAAAAATGAAAGTTAGCAGATGCTTATAAGAGGGAAGAGCTTTTCTGGAGTTAGAAGGCAAGTGTAAAATGGCTTAAGGAAGGTGATAAGAATATTAGCTTCTTTCATGCATCTATTACTGGGAGGAGAAGGCGGAATAGAATTAGTAGGTTGCAAAAAATGAGTGGGGAATGGTGTGAAAACGAGGAGGAATCAAGGAAGGAGATTATTGACTATTTCCAGGAGATTTACACTACAGAAAATCTAATGGATTTTGCTGAGATTTTACGAGGTGTCTCACAGACTGTCACTCCAGATATGAACAGGCAGTTGACCAGGCCTGTCACAAAACAGGAAATCAGACATGCTGTCTTCTCAATGCAACCAAACAAGTCTCCAGGGCCAAATGGTATGCCTCATTATTTTTTCCAAAAATTTTGACAAATAGTTAAATCTGATATAGTCCATGCTGTCCAAAGCTTTTTCCATTCTGGTTTTCTTCTGAAGTCTATTAATGAGACCTTGATCAGATCCCTAAGACTGAGAATCCAACATCTATTACTGAGTTTAGACCCATTAGTTTATGTAATATCATTTATAAAATCATCTCTAAAGTGCTGATTGGCAGGTTTAAGAGTGTGCTGAACATTTGTATTAGTGAGTCCCAATCTGCTTTTGTTCCTGGCAGACAGATTTTAGACAATGTCCTGATTGCCCATGAATGTGTCCATTTCCTAAAAAACAAAAGAATTGGGAGGGAGGGCTATATGGCTATCAAATTAGACATGTCCAAAGTTTATGATAGGGTGAAATGTGTGTTCTTGGCTAAAATGATGCAGAAAATGGGATTTTGTCCTATGTGGATTCTGTGGATTATGGAGTGTGTTACTAGTGTCACATATTCTGTTAACATTAATGGGGAAAAAATTGGTTTTATTAAGCCTGCTAGGGGACTGAGACAAGAGGATCTTTTATCCCCTTATCTGTTCCTGATTTGTGCTAAATGACTGTCTTCTTTGATTAACCAAACTAATTCACAAGGTTTGTTGACAGGTATGAGACTAGCTAGGGAGGCTCTTAGATTATCCCACTTATTTTTTGCAGATGATTCTTTGATTTTTTGTAAGGCAAATGTTGAGGAGGCAAGGTAACTGAGGAGTATTCTGAAGGTTTACAAGGAGGCTTCTGGTCAACTAATTAATATGGAGAAATCATCTTTGCTTTTCAGTAGAAATATGAACCATAGGCAGACAGGAGGGGTGATGAGGGAATTGCAAGGAATGAGTAGAGTGGTGCAAAGTAAGTATTTAGGACTGCCTTTGGTTATTGGGAGGTCCAAGAGACAGGTCTTTGATTTCATATAGCAAAAAACAATAACTAGGCTGAAGGGATGGAAGGAGAAGCTACTGAGTCAAGCTGGAAAAGAAGTATTACTAAAGGCTGTCATTATGGCATTGCCTACATATGTGATTTCTGCTTGCCTGCTGCCAAAGGCTGTGTGTAAGGAAATATGTTTAGAAATGGCAAGGTATTGGTGGGGACAGAAAGCTGAGGAGAATAGGATCCATTGGTTGAGTTGGGGGAAGCTAACAGAGATTAAGGCAGACGGGGGGTTGGGGTTTAGGGAGTTGCATGAATTTAACTTGGCTTTGTTGGCAAAGCAGTTGTGGAGAATTCTTACAAAATCAAATTTACTGATGAGTAAGATTATGAGGGCCAGATACTTTAAAGGGATATCCATATGGAGGACAAAGAGTGTGGGGGCTGAATCATGGTGCTGGAAAAGCTTGCTGCAGGCTAGGTGCCTTTTGGAAGAGAAGATAAGGAAGCAGGTAGGGAATGGTAAATCTATCAACATTTGGAAGGACAGATGGCTTCCAGAAACTGAGGATGGAATAGTGAAGACTAGGAAGGAGGAGGGGGTAGAGGTGCAGAGAGTTTGTGAGCCGATCAAGGATGGAGTGTGAGATAGAGAGTTGATTGATCAGATTTTTGATAAGGATGAAGGTAGGAAAATTTTGAGCATTCCACTTAGTATGGAGCCTAGGAAGGGCAGGTTATATTGGGTGTTCTCAAGTACTGGGGTGTATACAGTAAAGTTTGGGTACAGATTGGCCAAAAGTAAGAAAATGAGGGAGAGTCAAGGGAGGCATGGAGCAGAATCCAGTAGTAGGAAGGGTAGGGCAACTCAGAGTTGGAACTTCTTATGGGAATTGAATGTGAAGCATAAGCTGAAGCATTTCATTTGGAAATGCCTGCATGGCATTTTACCAGTAAATGCAGTTGTTAAGGATAGGTGCTTGAAAGGAGATCACATGTGTAGGGGGTGTGGGGAGAATGTAGAAACCATTTAGCACATGTTGTTCTTCTGCAATCATGCTTTGTCTATTTGGAAAACTGCTCTCGTGAGCTGGGAGGGTCTGGAGGATTACAGAAGTAAATTTTGGTTGTGGTGGGAGGAATTGAAAGGAGCTGCGAATCAGGAGTTGGGAAGTGAGCGTATAGTACTGACTATCAACCTCCTTTGGCAAATTTGGAAGTCAAGGAATGAGAGACAATTCAATGGCCAGGGAAGGAATCCTTTAGCTGCAGTTACCAAAGCAGTGGAGGAATGGAAGGAGTTCCAGGATGCTCAAAAACAGGAGATGGACATTTAAGGCAGTAATAAGGGTGAAGGTGAGATTTCCAATGGCTGGAGTTTGGCTCAGAAGGGCTGGATTAAGATAAACTCAGATGCTGCATTACAGCAGAAGGAAGGTTTGGCAGGTTGGGGAATGGTTGCAAGGGATTGGAAAGGGAATGTTCTAGGAGCTTGGGCAATACCAAACTCTAGTTGTTCCAATCCAAAGCTAGAAGAATCAATGGCATTAAGAGCAGCCATGGTGAAGGCGAAGCAGCAAGGATGGAGAAGGGTGATGTTTGAATCAGATTGCCTTATGGTGGTGGAAGAGATTAACAGGGAGCAGACTAATGTGATACGATCAGTAGTGTTATCTGATATCTGGAAACTTAGAACAAAATTTGACGAATGTTGTTGTACTTTTACCCGAAGAGTAAACAACTCTGTTAGTCACACACTTGCCAAAATGGCATTAAAGTTGAGAGAACAAACTGAATGGAAGGATGTCTTCCCAGACTGGCTGCTTGAGCTGGGGCAAGCAGATGTTGCGGGCCGTCGCCCATCTTTTATGTAAAAGTTTACCTTTATCAATAAAATGTTGCCGTTTGAGAAAAAAAAACTAAAACTGGGAAAAAAAAAACTAAAACTAAGAATAACCAGTTGAAAGTTTGTGGTTTTCTAAGTCAATTAGTCTAACATGATAAGTTGCAATTTCGAGATGATTTTTGTGCGCATGAGGTGACTTTGGATGTCCACATAAATCAACTATCATGTATACCATACATAAAACTTTCGAAGAAATTGCAAATTTCGGATTTAAAGCCGGATTTTAAACAACAAATTTTGTGCTCTGTCAAACGTTTCCCAGCTCAAGAAACAATAAAAAGAAATGCATAACACAAAAGAAAAATAAGATAGCATGAGTAATTCAAATATGTCTCAAAGACAAAAGAAAAAAAAAAGTTACGATTAACTATTCAAGCTAAATTATTAATACTACCTCCCTAACATCTTAGATGTAATTTGAATTGCATTTTCTAGAGAGTTATTGGAAAAAATTTTATTGTTGCATTTTTTAAATGTGATGTGACATACGTGAAATTTTAAAAATGTTAAAAAAATCATAGAAAACAAACATATTTTAGTGATCCAAACAAGACATTGACTTTCTTCACTTGGAAAGCAATTTATTTTCAAAAAAAAATTTTATTTTTCGTGAACATATTTCTTTATTATCAATTTTTTTTTTTATCTTGCATGTATCAAATTGCTATAATATTTTTTTTTTTACAAAAACTCACCAGAGAAAAATAGCAATCCATGTGTTTGGATTGCATTTTTCTAGATTTTTTGTAGAAAAATTACTGTAGCGATTTGATATATGTGAGATAAAAAGGTGATTGGAAAATGTGTTCACGGAAAACGTAGCAATTTGTCTTTGGAAAATTGCTGTCCAAACAAAGGTTTATGCGAAAATCGCCCGAATTACGCATCACGTGATTCACGTCCCTATTGAACAAAATCTTTAAACAAACTACAAACCCCTAATGGCATGAATATTTGTTTGCCCACTAAAAATTTTTGGAGCACAAATTACTGCAAGCATTGGGGACAAATGTTGCCGTCAATTTGCTAGACTCGACCAATAAGGAAAAGGAAAGCGTGGAAATTGAGAGTTACATTATATTGCTCCAACCATGAAAAGATGTTGAATAATGGCATCATTGGAATGCCAATATGTTCTTTCTGGCCAAGTATTCCAATTTGCATCGTGATATGATATGGGACATAATGAGAAAAAAAATGGCATACTCACAAAGCTGTCTCTTTCACATACATTTGAGTTGATTACCAATACGCCTTGAGTTGTAAATTACTCTTCTGTGCATACAGAAGCGAACAGTCAAAATGAAATTGTACCAAACTGAAAATGCAAAGCCCGCGCTGGGTTGGTCTGCTGGTGGAAGTAGCTTTCTTAGATGAGTTTCACCTGGGTTCGATCCCGGACAGCAATCCAGTTGTTATCTTCTTCGACATCGGTTGGGTCCGCTCTGCTAGAACGCTGTGAGATTAGTCGGGTGTAGACCCGGATACCCACGGTGATGAAAAAAAAAAAATGCAAGCATTCCTAAGGGAAGGGGTTATAACGCACTGAGATGCACTTTTTTTTCTTAAATTATTATATGATTATTTCCATGAAGACATTTCTTGGTCTTTGCAGTGTGCAGTAGTAGTGAGTTTTCTAGAATTTCCACCCAGGTCAAATTTGAGATAAAGACACATGGGCTTTGTTGTAGACTTGCAATCCTTTTTTTTTTCACTACCCAAAAAAAAAAAAATAGTACTAATACCGATTGGACATAAAAATTTGCACCATATTTTGTCTTTAGCGAAGGACAGTTAGGTGCGGGTGCAGGGTTTTAAAAGTTAAAACCCCTTGCGCTCAATTGCTTTAATCATTTTACTGACAGCTTTATCCAACAATACCAATTGGAAAAAGGAAATTCGAATGGTGTGCTATTTTTCTTGGCAAAATTTTAAAAAGTAAAAAATGACCTGAAATTCACTTTAGAAGTATTTTTATTTCCTCATTAACTTATCAAGTTAGAATAAGCAAAAATAAAAACCTTGAATAATTTATCGTCATTAGAGTATCAGGAGAGCTAGCTCATTTTATGCAAGGATTTTCCAAACATCTCAAGGAAGAGAGTAAGAAGTTGGTCATGTCTAGGCCGAAACGAAACAGGCGATTTTTCACCCTGGAAACTGCGAAGCGGTGTGGAAGATGGAAGAAGACAAACAAGTAGAGGCTCCGCATTGGGCTTTTGAAGAGCCCGAAGTAATCAGAGAGAGAGAGAGAGAGAGAGAGAGAGAGCGTGTGAGTGTGTGTTGTGTGGGTCCCCGCCATCTGAACTCTGTTACAGAGATTCGCTGTCAATCCCCTTCCAGTGTCTAAACGATTCATCTTTGATCAATGCAATAACATCGGGGCAGCAGCTGGTTTTCCCTACATCGTGCGGTGCATATTTAAAGTTTCAACTTTCGATAGGTTTACCGAACTATGAATAATTTACCTTGCCTGCCTGTCTGTCTGTCCTTTTTCTACTTTCTTGTTTCATATTCTTGCGTGCATTTACCCTTTTTTGTGATTAAACAAAAACCTACCCCAATAACACTGCTAGCTTTTTCCATTTTTTCTTTATCTTTTCAATACCTTTGGATCAGCAGTCCTTTTTCTCCTTTATAGACTGTGGACTGTAGTGCAGTGCAGTGGATTATCTCTTCTTCTTTTTCCTTTTTTTCTCCTTTTCCTGGTTCGTGTTGGGAGGTGAATTATTGAGAGTTACAACTCAGCTCCATCTCAAGTACAAGGTAACAAAAAACAATTCTTGCGTCATCTTCTCTCTCTCTTTTATTCTCCTTTCCTTTTCTTGGTTCATGTTGGGTGAATTATTGAAAGTTACAACTCAGCTCCATCTCACAAGGTAACAAAAAATCTCTTCATCTTCATTTTCTGTCGCGAGAGCTTTACGCTCTGTCTTACTCTTAAATTCAGCGGTTATGTAAGCAAGAAGATGACACATTTACGGTAGTTAGTAGTGAAAAAAAAAACCAAAGGATTTTCATGAATTTGAAGAGCGAATTTGGTCTGAATGAGAAATAGAATCACTAGACAGCAGATAATTAGACTAACGAGCTGGTAATCACTTGAAATGAAATTCTTGTTTGCACCATTATTTCAACCACACAAACTCCCAAAGCTACAACCAGAGAAGCAAAGAAAATAGGTGAAACACAACACAATAACATGCATTGAAGTGGAACAACACCGTACACAATCCATAAACACCTAACGAGCACCGACTTGACTGATCCTTTTGTTTCTTCTTTTTTTTAATTACCCTCAAGTACAAAAACGAATTATTTTCCAAGCACAAACATCCACGCTACGGTCAATGGTCAACACAGGCTCCCCATGCACGAGGCACGAAGATCAATTACTGCTTAATTAATTAGTGGCAGAAAATGACCTTGAGCTCACGAGGAGCTGAGCACTCGTGCATGAGTGAAGGGCTGTCATGAGCGTACGTAAAAGTTGCCGGACAAGCATGCTTGAAGTAGTCCGAATAGCTCGAAGGCTTGCACGTTTCTTTGCTATTGTAGTGATTTCTGCAGCAAAGCTCGTCCGTACCAAAGGCTTCGCACCCACTCTTGCACCCCACCACGTGTCCTCCCGGACCATGAAACCTCAAGCTGGCCGGACACGTGGGAACCAAGTCCACCCTGCAGCCCACGACCGGACAGGTGCCTTTGCCTTCGTGCGGGGTCACCGTCATGGGGATGTTGAAGCCGTCTACCAAGCTGACTCCGTAGGAGGAGAAGTCGGCGGGGCCGTGGTGGAGAACTAACTGGACTAGGGTAGCAGGGGTGGCGCCGCCTCGTCCGTCGCACTCTATTCGCCCCCCGCAGTCGCCGGTGGCGCAGGAGAAGTGATTGTTGGAGTATGTGCAGCCAGTGCGGGCCCAGATGCGACCGGACCAGTGAGTGGTCGGAGCTGCGAAGGAGCGGTGGGTGAGGGTGTGGAGGGCGAAGCCGCCGCGTTCGAGGACCGGGTGACCGGCGTTGGGCTGGATGGCTGGCCAAACGGTGTAGGGACAGTTGTTCACCAGGGTGAGAATCATGCCTGGTTGGGTGGCTGTCGAGAGGATGCAAAGGGAAAAGAGAAGAGACAGTGATAGCATAGCGGGGAAGGGAAGAGTGGCCATGGCCGGAGCGGTGGGGAGAGAGAAAGGAGAAGAGTTGGCTGTGAGAGGTGGGAGGTGGTGAAATGCTTAGGTGGGGATGGGTACATATATAGGCCTGCTGGGGTTTGTTGGTTTAGTAGGGAAAGCGGGCCGTGAATGAAATGTAGCCCAACGAAATCAGATTCGATGGGTTTGGCTCATTATCCTATTAGCCCTAATCCTGTTTTCTGCAAGTAGTTTACAAATTAATTATTGTAGATAAAAAAAAAATATTTTTTTGCTACTTTTTTTAATTTTTTTTTAGCATGGAGATCTGTATTTGAATTTCTAATTCTTGAAATTTTAACCTACTAGTTGTATTAGTAGTGTATTCTTTGCATAGTTGGCTATGCATTATGGAGAAATGAATCAATAAAAAAAGTTTATTAACTGCGCTAGCTAAAAATAAATTCTTCTCATTACTGCCCCTCATTTTTATCCAACTGAACTAATAAGACTTGTTCACCTCTTTTATTTGAAAACAAGAAAGGGTTCTAGTATGAAATTGTGTTACTAAAATTTCCTATTTGTTCGCAATCTGTTAGAAACACACTACTTTAAGCTGCTCAAAAAGTATTTCACTTTAAAATTTCCGTGGCGAACATATCAGTGAACGCCTTAGGCTACCAAAACATGCAAAATGGTCGTGTATCTTCGCCTCCTCCTCAAATTTTTCATGTTAATGAAAGCAAGAAATCAAAGACCCTCTTAAGATATTGAAAAATGTCGAGGACCTGAGTGGTTTTGTTATATAGAACTCAGAAGCACTTGCAATTGGCGGTCAAATACTGGTTTTGCAAACCAAACCGCAAGCGTATTTACGCGGGCTCCCGCAGCTCACAGAATCTCATCCAGAAAGACTTCACTTGAGTTAGAGATCCAATCGAGCAGTCTGATACCGCAGCAACAATGCAACTTGATAGATACATTTTACCACATATATATATATATATATATATCGTGACCAAAATCATGAGTGACAAGTATACGGTGGAAGGATCTATCTAAAAGAGAGAGTAAAAATAATTCGTTTTTCCCCACAAACTTCAACTTTGCTAGTAATATATTCGTGAGATAAACTTAACTTTGTCCTAGATGATTGCAGAGAAGTTGGCAAAGGGATTATTACAAAGGTCAAAGGTTCCTTTATTAAGATGGAAATTCGTTTCAGTTTGCATATGCTCAATATGACACGGCACATCGGTGTGCAGTCGGGCAGCTTAAAAGTTACTCCATAAAGCCTAAGAGGGCACGTCCATGCATGGTCCCAAGCCAAAGGAGGGAATTGCAAAGAAAACAAATAAAGAGAATAGCCTGTTGATTTCGTTGAGATTCTGATAGTTTACGTGTTCTTTTCTTTTCAGTGGTTACATAGAGGCCAGACTGATGTCATTTTACAAACCGAGTCCATAATTCACACTGCAAAATTCATTTTGAGTTTTGTCTTTCGAACAGCCAGAATATGCATAAAAAAAAAATGAGGTAGGTGGATAGCTCTACTCCCTCGACAGTAACAAGGTAGTATTATATCTAACTTTTTCTTTTTAATTTGCAGGTTGGTTTCTGTGAAAGCTGACGAGGAGGAGGAGAAAGGCGAGAAACAAAGGGGACCAGACATAGAACCAGTGGGGATTGCAGGCGTTGGTATCGAGAAAGATAAGAATGGCTATTGGCAAAAAAAAAAAAAAAGGCATCAGGCATCTCGCGCCATCACGATGAACACGTTGGCCAAGCGGATGAGTAATCCCCGCTGGCCGCTGGCTGTCTCCTACGATTACGAGGGCCTTCCTTCTTTTGCAATTCCGCTGGCTGTCTCCCAGATGGGCCTCATTGTTTTTATTTTTAAGACACAAAATAAATGGTGCAGAACAAAATGAAATGATGAACAATATGTGATATATTTCGATTGCATTTAAACACATTTTCTAACTCACATAATCACTTTTTTATTTCACATACATTATATCAAAAAAGTATTATAATAATTATTTCAAATAATACTCTATCCAAACATATAAATAGTGTGTTTTGATAGAGTATTATTTGAAATAATTATTATAACATTTGTGATGTGATGTATGTGAGTTTAAAAAGTGATTGAAAGTGTAAAATGGTGGATTGAAAAATGTATTTATGATGCAAGCGATGTATTAGTTGAAAAAAAATTAGCTATCCAAACACACTTGTAATTTGATGATATTAGTTATAATATTTTAATTGGTTTTTGGATGAAAGAAATTTATCTTGAGTTTACTTTAATATTTATTTGAAAAAATCATATATTAAGTGGCATACAACTTATATGAAAACACAAATTAAATAATTGCCTACCTCTTTAATTTGAAAAATTTTCATATTTGTATCTATCATTTAAATATGTTGTAATTTTTAGTTGCTTTTTATACATGAACTCATTTATTTGTCTGTAACGACACTCCTTCCCAATAATATCTATATAATTGACTGAAAAATGAGAAAGGAAAAGAAAGAGAAGAAGAGAGAGCGAAGGGAGATTAGAGAGAGTCTTCGGTAGGTTAGTTTCAATTTTCATTTATATTAATGTTTTGCCAAGGGCCATCTACATGTAAACTAGAAGAACGTGTAGCTTTTTACTTCCTCGTGTATAGTTGGGTTTTATGAATAATATGTGCTTCCAATTTGTAATTTGCCTTAAGCATGTTAAAGAAATTAGCGGTAACCAACAGAGAAAAAGTACAAAAAACAGAGTATTGAAAAAACTCATAAGTAGATCCACACACACATATATATGGGCTAACCCCTAGTCCCATCTGGTATCAGAGCCAGAGGAGGAAGCGGGGTTAAGCTGATTATACTGCCTAATCTAATCTTTTAACTAGTGGTAGTCCGACAGCGATCCACTTCCTAACTCTCATTGTTTATGCTCATTATATTACTTATTATTTTTTTGGTTTAAGGGGCCAACCCCTCGTCTCTCTTGGTGTATATATATATATATATATGTATATGTATATATATATATATAAAAGGATCTTTCTTTAGGACGAGTTATTGTAATTTCATAAATACATAATTAATACTTGTTCTCAGTTAAGTATTTTAATTAGTTATAGATTCTAATTTTGAATAATTATTTTTTCTAGTGCACTCGTTTGCTTTTTTACGTAGATTATAAATTTTTTAATAACCCAAAAAGTTAAAATTTATAATATACCAAAAAGTAGTTTTTATTTTTTATTTTTATGATCTCACTATACTCTGTATTCACTTTCTTAGATTTTTACAAAATCTAAAGCAACCAAGAACAACGCCCATATTTGTACTTAGGGTTCCATTCTTCAATTATAGAATGGGCTAAGTTGATAGTGTTTGCTCACATTCGTTGGCTTCTTACTGAAAGAATCGAAGCCCAAGATCCTGAGCAAGTATTATTGGAACACAGGTTTTAGCCTACAACAGGCCATTTTTGCCAATTGTTCTCGTCCTCAATCCCATCTTAACACTAGGAAAATTTAGCCCGTGGTCACGATAGAGGAATCGCAAGCCTTTCTCCTTTTCCTACATTCCTCGCAAGGCTACAACTTCCATTCCCCAAATATATAAAGAGCACAGAAAAGTAAACTATGATCCTGGGAAAAGTACTAATGTTTAATCTTCACAAGCAAAAACAAAATGTCTTTTTTTTTTTTTGGGTGTCATTTCGAATAATTTGTGACAAAAACTGCACCGTATTTTGTTAACTATTGAAAAGAGGAATTGGCTGGATGACGAGTAGTACAGTTATCCATGCATGGGATCTAAATTACACCCTAAACTGCATGCCAAGGCCATACTCGCATAAACAATCCGAAGCGTACATTAACAATTATTTATGTGTAAATTAGCAGAACTCTGGCAACACTTGAGGTTCAGGCTATCTGTAGGGATCGGGGGCCTTCTAGGTGATACAGGACCGTGTATTGCATCATAGATTTGTTTCGTTGTGAATTGCCCAAGTCAAACACTGCCATTATGCTGTACCCCTAAATGTCACCTGTGTAAAACATTAACGGCATGGAGCAGGCCACTTTGTACTCGGAAGTCAAAGTAAAAAGCCTGATCTTAGTTCACCTTTTATAGAACAAGTTTATCAGGCAACTTTAGCGTGTTGTTTGTTTATTAAATCTCATCATTACCCATTGGAGAGATAAAACAAATTTGCGTGGAAAGTTCCCGCCAAAAACCTTTGAGGGGGTTAGCTGCCAAGGACCAGCACTAGGTGAAAGGGTTTTCATTTGTGACATTATTTATTTATTTATTTTTTGTCAATCTCCACCATCTACTTTATTTCTACTCCTACTCTAATCTATTTTAGGGGGTGACTACTCCTACTCTAACCTATTATAATAGGTGACCCAACAACTGAATCAAAAGGAATCGACGAAAACTAAATTACCATAGTACAATATGCATCCATATGGATCTTAAAGAAGTCACATTAATGACAAAGTGATGGGAGGTAAGGTTTAAATCCTTAACCTCCCACCCCACAAAAATAAGTAATAGTCAATCACTCTAGAGATAGTTGATTGATATTTTCAATAGTGTCAAAGTGGGTGACTCGGGCAAGTCATAATTGGATAATGGATATAATTGACTCAATTCATTTATAACTATTTAAATAAATGAGTACAAATGGATATCTATTCATACCTATTTAATATATGGGCATGGATGTACTCAATTACCCATTTATGAGAAATAAATGGGTGAATTATTGGTGGGTGGGCGAGTTTGAACGGATCAACATATTTGAATTGTGATTGATACCTCTACTTTTTTTTTTTCAAAGAGATTAATAAGCAGTTTTCACCCAACAACAGTAAGAGACAATTTGAACTCTGACGAAATTAGAAGGTGAAAAGCAACATCTATTGGAGAAGGGTCAGACAGTAGTTGGAATGGAGGGTGTCTTCTTCTCTCCTTCATAATGCAAGTCCAGTTACTAACACAAGGTATGAGAGTACATTCACGACCAAGAAACAATCCACAATGTCAAAAAGCAAACAAAATGTTACTTGTACAAGCAAACACCGTTCAAAAAATATATATAAAAAAAAGTTCAAAATTATAATAGTGGGTACCAGCATCATGATTCAAGCACTCAAAAGAAAATATGTATAAATTTCACTTCATCATGCATGCAATGATTACTGGAAAGTAGTCAACTCACAATGAGAGCTCAGATCCCTCACCTTATCACTGGAGTGAAAATGGCATAGGATCCAAAGCGCCTTTAACAAAGATTCCATGTTTTCAAGTTCCTAATGATTGCCAAACATATGAAGTTGGAAGTCTTCTCCTCTTACTTGAAATGAGCCCCCACTTCTATCCTCGACTTCAAAAACCATTTCGCCTTCAAAGTGACCGTGCTTAATATGAAGATATCCCAGTTCCTCTATCGTCTTCTCTTTTTATGGCTTCTACTTACCACATTTCAACACCATTTCACTTTCACCTCCAAGGTTCAAGCTACAAAATCAGGTATGCAACTGGTCCCCATTTCCCCCCAGCCCAAACTCTTCTCTTTTTTCCTACAGATTCTCTTGCGTTAACATAATGTTGAGTCTTATTTATATCAATAAGGAGCAAGTTTAAGGAGTATATATACATGTACATGTCTTGTCTTAAGAAGTTTACTTTCTGAATCACTTCCACAGTTGATCTCAAGATCAGCCCTGCAGAATTCAACTCAAAATCCAGAATGGGGCACACTGCAAGTAATTTCGTACGTGAAGTACTCCTGCCTACTCTCTTTTGATATCTTTTTATCACCATTTTACTTAACAAAATGGTCGTGTGGCTCATTATATACCTAAAGGATGAATAATTCATGCAGGCAAATGAGAAGAAAACACGTAAAGCACCATCTGGACCAAACCCAAGTGGAAACCATCTCCCACCATCAAGGACATAAAGCGATCATTGTACTTATTCACTGTGGGAACACAATATTTCTCGAAGTTGCAGGAGGTTAGATGTATCTTTGTAATTCAGATGAACTTTATGCTTAGGATTATTGCTTTGTAGAAAAGCGGGTAATCTTTGACATTCAAATCATGTTTGCTACATTAGATAAATAGCAGTCAGTTCTAAGGATAGTGATATCAAAGCAAAGCAAGAATTAGAACCATAAGTAAAGCATCAGATTAGTGAAGAAAACCAGAAGATCACCACAAGGCCATGCTTTCGCATCTCAACCTGGAAACACATGCTTGGAAACAAAGTCTATTCAAGGATGGAAATTAATAACCCGTTCAATAAAAGCCAAATTTGTGTTATTCCCTGTGGTTTGCCAAATAGACATAATCAGCTTTCAAAAAGTACGATTATGTGGGCAGAAATGTTCCACTTCTTTAACTTAATATTTAGATGCCAAAGGGTAGCCAAAAAATGTTCTAGATTTATGAGAAACAACTTTGCAAAATGTCCTGCGATAAAAGTGGTCTTTGAAGCTTTCAAGTACCAAATACATACAATTCGCCCACTAAACTACTAAGTGCCCTTCACTCTGATATTCAATGTCATAGGATTTCGTAACATCTGAAAGTTTGTAATTATACATAAGGTCTAATAAACCAGAAAAAGCAGCCTTATTGTCATTAATATGTGGTTTGTTCGAGCTATCAAATGATTGACTAATTGGTACAGCTAGCACAATTCCAAAAAAATGACCAGCATGAAAAATGGCCACTATACACTGACTAAAGTACATAGTGTTCAGAGATACACGGTTAACTCACAACTAACAAAATTTAGCATAAGATTATCATACCGCGCGCTTCCTCTTTGACCGCTTACTCCTCCTTGGTCTACTGTATTCTGGAACTGGTTTACCAGCGCTTGAAGCAACAGCCTCTTCCAGAACCTCATTATCCTGTCAGCAACATTTAAGCAGATATGATACTCCAATGCAAGAGACTTATAAAAGAAAGATCTTTAGATTTATTTTCCTAAAAAGTAGTATTAGTTCCAATTTGGTCCTAAGAAATTGTTTATTCCCTGATTTAAGGTGAATTCGTCAAGCTCAAAGAGCTTATGCTTTTACATCAATTTCCATATCGTTTTCCAGGATAGCCATCTCCCGAGCTAACAGAAAAATGCTGGATATTGTGTGCTGTACTAGTAGATTTTAATCTAAGTGTGTTACTCAGGACGCAGAAAAGAAATCCTCATTTTGGGCAGCCATGGTATACTTAATCTTCACAAACAAAACATTCTTTAATGTTTTTCAGAATTCTCTCAAAGTTCCGAAGCATATGGTGATATCACATGAAAGTATGCATCTAAGCTCCAGGTCTTGTCAATGACTAAATTTAGTCAGAAGTCCATTCGTTGCTAATTAAGTCACTTTTAACAGTGAGCCCACTCTACTTCTGCTGCCCCACAAAACCATAAGCATGTCGCATTCATCACTTCATCTCAGTTTTGACTCATAAGAAGAAGGAAACTAGATTTCCATGTCCCATCTTTGACTATTATAAACTTGATAAAGACAAAGACAGCAGTCAATGCGCAAGTCAAAGTTGTAGCTAATTTCACTTGTTACATGCAAATGTCAGGTTATTCAAAAATTCCTATAATCTATGAAACTTACCTGGCCGGCCTGATGAAACAAAGAAGAAAATGACATGAAATTCCGTTAATGAATCATTGAGACAGAGAAATGTGGACATAACTACAATAAAAATCTATTGAAATTTACTAGATGATTGATATATAACCTCAATATGCTTCATCAAATAAAATAAGTCCTTAATTATAAAACATTGAACATGGAAAGCGATGAGTAGATAGAGGCCAATGCACAACAAAGAGGTTGAGGATTTAGTTCTGACTCCTCAATCCTAGTTGACCAGTAAATAAAACAATTCATTGTCAACGTTTTCAGGGAATCCCAGGTAAACTTTAGCTCATTAGGTTGACCATTACAAGCTGAATTTTACCTTGGACTTGGCCTCTTCATCTGGCTCGTCTCCAGAATCAGAGACAGACACTGATGTCTCAACTTCTACTGTAGATACAACCTTGCTCAAATTTTTCTTCTTCTCTTCCTCTTTCAATTGCCTGAATCTGAAAATTTTCCCAATTTCACCATTAAGGGACTACCAGAAGCGTTTCAAAGAAAACAGATCAACTCTAAAATATAAGACACAAACCTTTCACCAGTTTGCTCAGGCGGGGAAGCAGACCGTTTTGCACGTCCAGCAGTGATTATGCCACTTGCATTCTCACTTACAACAGACTTTGCACCACCTAATTTCCGCAACCATACCTGCTGTGCCGTGCTCAGCACATTATTTATGAACCTATTCATCCAACAAGAGGATCACATTTAGTGCCAACCCCTTAAGGACTGATTTTAAGGTTCATATGTCAAGGGCAAATATAACGAGAGTTAGTGGTAAGCATGCTCAAACTTTATATGAAAAAATGTCTGATGAAGATGCTTGTGACAACAAAGAACTCTTAGCAGAAAGGTATATTGAACTTTAGTTCCAGCAGCAAAATGAACAAAAAGGTTTCATGAATGAAAGCAATATGCATGATATACTGATCCCAGTCATCAGAAAAAAAGCATCAAACAGACCCCAGCATAAAGCAGCATAGCCTAGCTGAAAAAGATCAACAAGAAAGAACTCTTAGCAGAAAGGTATATTGAACTTTAGTTCCAGCAGCAAAATGAACAAAAAGGTTTCATGAATGAAAGCAATATGCATGATATACTGATCCCAGTCATCAGAAAAAAAGCATCAAACAGACCCCAGCATAAAGCAGCATAGCCTAGCTGAAAAAGATCAACAAGAAAGTGGTATCCAAACTCATAGTTGAGTTGCCTATAAATGCATAATGAGATTTCAAAATAAAAAATAATCATGTAGAGACTTCACTTTACAGTTCTAGTCCAAGGTTCAGTGGCTGGATGCATCACCAACATTAGTCAGACAATGCAAGCATATATTTAGACCAGGAAATACTAACTAATCCCACAACCCAAAAAGAGATAACTAGAACTTTCTCATTCTCAAAACGAAAAGATAACTGTTCTCTCGAACTGTGTGACCATTGTCAACTTAGAAATTCTTGATCCAGTGTATCCAAGCAGTTTGCACTGATACTGACGCTATAAAAGAGAAACGTGCAAGGGACATATACACATGGTTGCGTGAACTGCTTGGCGATTCTTACCAGTAAATGGTTAATCCAGATGGAACAGACAAGGAAAAGTAACCAATCATCAATGGAAGAAACTTGAAAACAAGAAGAGTGTTCTTTTGTGCCGGATCATCCGTCTACCAAAATAACAAAAACAAAATTAGGAAAGGGAAGATCGCTGAAGGAAAGCAAATTATCAAAGATGAATTTAGTTCTTACTTGAGGAGGCTTCATGATTTCCATCGATACATATTGAGAAACAATTAGGAGGACAGGCAGAACAAGGTATGCTGCAGTATCATGCCAACCAAGTGGAGGATGCCCATCCTGCAACCACATGGAACCAATTAAGTATGACCCTTGCTACTTGACACAAACATAAACTAGCTTTTCAAATGATGGCTCTTTAAGAGTGTATCATACACATGATAGTCAAAAATCACCATATGAAAAACAAATGCAATAAAAAAATAAGGATCAAGTATTACTTCACCAGAAGAACATAATAGGATTGCAAAGAATTAATTACCACAAATGGAATGAGCCAAGAAATTCCAGAACCACTCTGGCGTGCAGCAATTGTAGTTGGGCCTCCCAAAGAAGGGATCCAAAAGAAACCCTCTGTCAATAGTCCCTATAATTCATAATTTTGAACAACAATTCTGCAGTCACTACTTTTGCACACATAAAATTTATCCGCATTAAAATCACTTTGAAAAAATGACTTTTATTCTCAAATACCTCATTTGCCACATTAGAAAGAGCTTGATATAAACCTATCCAGACTGGTATTGTGGCTAGAGTCGGGAAACATCCTGTTAACCATTCAAAGCACTGGTGTAGTTAGCATGACAATCCCAACACCTGAATAAATAATATCAAAATGGAGATAACAGATCACGTGAACCTAGAACTAGATTAGCTGATTTTTTGGGAGAAGAAATTTGAGGAACAAGCTCAAGGAAGCTTTCAAGCAATTCAGCAGTAACAACAATTAAACTAGGATTGAAGCTGATGACATAATAAGCAATGGCATTGAAATAAATTAATGCCCAAGAACAACCACAACAGCTTTGAGTATCTTGAGATGCCAATTTTGTATAGTTGCCTCAGTTTCCTTGAGAATGCAGTAGAGGGTCAAGCCACAAATTAAGCATCCTAAGTAAAGGTGCAAGTCTATAATAAATCAGAATAGTAGCTTCTCGCAGTTACAACATTCGTAATAAGACTAAGTAAAGGCAAAAAAATGGAAATAAAAAAATAAAAAATTAACAAGTCCATGCTTTTATTGCAAAAGATAAGTAACTGAAATGCTTAACCCAAATTTACCTGCAAGAGGATTAACTCCTGCCTGCCGATAGAGACGTGCTGTCTCAAGTTGTATTCTTTCCTATGATAGGATAAAATAGAGTTACTGCTAGTTTCAGTTTTCATCTTAGAAGAAATTTACAATTAACTGACCAATAAGACCATGATTTCAGTGTCAAGAATTGTGGATTTCTCTATAATAAGAATAGAATTAGAAAGGTAACTGACCTGGTTTCCTGCATATCTTTGTTGGATTGCTTTGATCTTTGGTTGAAGATTTTGCATTGCCAAGGTGGATTCAACCTTCCAAAACATTATTCTTTATCAAATTAGAATGTTCTGATGAACATGGAATTCCATGACATTAGGGGAAAGAGGATGCAATAGTCTAGGACGCAAATGCAAAATTGGCGTGGCAATCTTTTAGTTCAATAAATTCTTCCAATCAGCCCAAAAGTGAATGTCTTCTTGATTTGATGGTAGTGGCACCACAAACCTCACCTGTCGTCTGGTCAAAGGGAAGGTGGCAGCTTTTACAATGACAGTTAGCAAAATAATGGCAAATCCATAGGCATATGGCACATGCACAGCTGAAAGCCCATCCTTTAGTATCTGAACGGAATAAAGCAGGAAAATGGATTAAGCTTTCATTTAACTTGAGGTAAAGGAAGCACAATACTCTCTAAACTAGTTTCCTTCCTTAAACATTCGACTTAGCCTCGACAAAACAAGAAATAATGTGATATTTTCCACTTATAGGTCCAATGAAATGATAAGTCCTTGTAGAACAGATATGGATAAACCTCTGCGAATCAAAACCTTTTCATGAAAGTTCGATTGCGCCTCACTTAAAAGAAAGTAATTTGCATACTAATTTTACTTATTTCGACTTCATTTGTGTCGTTTTGCACACTCATCAATAACCTCAAATTGATCTTTACTTTGTACCATAGTTCAATACTTAATACCATACTTAATATTCACAGCAACACGCAAACTATCCATCAAAGCCCAATCAATTTGCAGTAATCGCAAACAGATTACGGCAATCACGTGACATATTCATCAATCAACCCGAGGTTAACAGGTTTTTTTCTCAAGGACCCAGCTATATCAGTAATAAATAAATAAATAACTAAATAAAAGTTCGGCAGAAATCACTGCTTAACGGATAATCAGGACTAGTAAAAAGAGCATAACCTTCAAGACAAATTCCATGGCTTCGGAAATGAAGCCGAACCAGCCTCCGCTTTTCTGAGCAACAGCGGTAGTGGAGTCGGAGGCAGCGCCACCAGTAGCCGGGTCGACAGCCACAGCTGCATCAGCTAAAGTGTAGAGCAAGCTCTCGGCCCGGCTAACAATTGCGCCGAAATCTATTGAGTTGTGAATTGGAGGAGGAAGCTCGTGCAGGCTGAATTTGACTCTAGTGGTACTGATAAGTCTAGTGCGTTGAGGGAGGAAAGCATGGCGAGGGAGGGGAGGGAGTGGAGTTTCGAGAAAAGATGGAGAAGAAATTATAGTCTTCGCCATGGGAAAATTCAAATCAAAGAGAGGAATTGAATTCTTTTCTCCTCCGCGAGAGGAAATTAGAGGAGAGAAAAGAATTCAATTCATGAGCGGAAAGGGGAACGAGAGGTGTTGTGGGAGGAAGAGGAAAATTTTGTGGATGATGGATGATGATGGAGCTGCAGCCTGCGGGGGAGTGGAGAACAAGTGTGGGATAAAAATATTTGGACGTGTGTTATCCGAATCTTTAATATATTTTATTTATTTATTTATTTGGTCTAAGTAGTAGTAGTACTACTCCGTTGTAGTTGGCAATTTTTTAAAATTTTCTTTTGGCTGGAAAATGAAATTGGCAAAGACTCGTGCACGGTCGGCACACTACTGCCGCATAAAAGCAAGGAAAATGGTGGGTTAGATTTGATGGAAATGATATGATATTTAGGCCAAGATTGTTTAAGTGGTTAAATTAGCTTCTTGGCTGCTATCATGGATAAGTTTGGTACTTATACCGTATGACCCGTACGAGTACGTATGCATGTAATAATACGAAGCTTGTAAATGGATTAGGGAAATATATATATATATATATATATATATGAACTCGTACATAATTACAAGAATGGACACAAAATTTTAATTTGAGGGGGCGAACCAGGATCAATGATGTTGAAAGAATAATACTTGAAATAAAATTAATGGAGTTGGAAAAAAGATGGGATAAAGTTGTTAGTTATGGGGTTACTATTTGACCACATGCCTGTGCGTGTAAATGTGTAAATAAATATAGTTATACTAGTAGTAATTGTATTCTATAGTAATTACATGAATTGTATGTTAAATTAGAGTTATATTATTATTTCCAAAAAATATATATAGTCGTACTAGTAAAAGGAAACTATTTTTACTGATAAAATAACATTTTTTTTTTGTCTACACAGGGGTGTCCGGGTCAATTCTTACGGGGCCCGACTAATCCCCTGCGACCCGGGAGAGGAGGCCCCACTTCACACCGAACACGTTAACAGCGGGATGTCAGGCAAGAGCTCCTGAGCCAGGTTCGGTCAGTAGCAGATTTGGGAAAAGAATTTGGGGAGAAGAGAGAAGTGAGTGAAAAGAGAGAGAAGGCAAGAGAGATTAACCGAGAAGAGAGAGAAAGTGATTCTGGTATTAAGCTTCTGATGATCCCATAACAGCAAATGAATGGGATCTTATACAATTCTGTTTTCTGTTGCAACTAACTCTAACTAACTGAATTAATCTAACTACATCGTTTAAGACGTTATGCAATACAATCACCAAACGCACAGCACTCCTCACCAAACGACATCCCTTAGACGTTGGGGCCTGACATTCCCTCCCTGATAAGGAATGAGCTTGTCCTCAAGCTGAAAAATCAGGAAACTGCTTGTCAATGAACGTTTTGTCCTCCCAAGATGCCTCAGTTTCTGGCAAATGATTTCATTTGACCAAATACTGAATGATGGGTTGAGAGTTTCGTAGAACAACCCTCCTCCTTACTACCCTCTCCGGCTGTAAAATACACTGGTCAGAAGCATCAAACTCAGGCAGGGTAGGTTCAGTGCCCTGGCCTACCCCAACCTTCTTCTTCAACAGAGAAATGTGGAAAACTGGGTGTATTCTGGCCTTCTCCGGAAGCTGTAGCTTGTAAGCTGCTGCACCAATCTTCTCAATAATCTGGAAGGGTCCATAGTACTTAGGAGACAATTTTAAACTCTTCCTGATGACCACTGTCTGCTGTCTATAAGGCTGCAGTTTCAGGAAGACCCATTCACCTACTTGGAAGGACCTCTCTGTCCTATTTTGATCAGCAAAGTGCTTCATTCGATTCTGAACCTTGGCCAGATTATCTTTGATGTTTGCTAGAACCTGAAGTCTCTCCTGTACCATACCAACAGCTGCCGGGACAACACTATCATGGAAGGGTCCTAAAGGTAGATGCAATGGTTTATATCCATATAAAGCTTCAAAAGGGGTCAGCTGCAGACTTGTGTGAAAATTAGTATTATACCACAGCTCAGCTACAGACAACCAAGTACTCCAGTTGGATGGATGTTCACTACACATACGCCTCAAGTAGCTTTCAAGACACTGATTAACCCTTTCACTCTGACCATCAGTTTGAGGGTGATATGATGAACTATACTGCAATCCAACCCCCAAGGCACAAAACAACTCCTGCCAGAATTTGCTAATGAAGACTTTGTCCCTGTCAGAGGTAAGGGACTCCGGTAGACCATGCAACTTATACACCTGGTCAAGAAACGACTGAGCTACCTGGTGTGCAGAATAAGGGTGGGACAACTTCATGAAGTGACTGTACTTAGTGAAACGATCCACCACTACCAGAATGGTATCATACCCATTAGATAGAGGCAGCTGCTCGATAAAATCCATAGTCAGGTGTGTCCATGCCTGTTGAGGAACTGGAAGTGGTTGCAGTAGTCCTGGATAATGGACATTTTCATGCTTATTCCTCTGACAAGTATCACAAGCCTGAACAAACTGTACAACATCCCTTTTTATGCTTGGCCAGTAGAATATAGATTGTATCCTTTGTAGACAGGCTCTTTGACCAGAGTGACCCCCCACAGCTGAATCGTGTAGAGCCTTGAGCAAACTGTGCCTGATTCCATTAGCTGCTCCCACATACAGTTTTCCCTTGAATTTGAGCAATCCTTTCTCCAGTTGGTACCCTGAACAAGCATTAGGGTCTAACAACAATTGAGACATGATATCCAAAGCTACAATGTCACCATCATAACTCCCCACTAGCTCCTTCACCCAAATTGGTTGCACAGCTGAGAGCACACAGAGGTGCTTTTCTTTGTCTGGCTCCTCGTTTACTCCATCCAACCTCTTTTTAAACAGGGCGTCAGCTACCCCATTTTCAGTCCTCTTTTTATACTGAATCTCGTAGTCCAGGCCAAGTAACTTGGTAAGCCACTTGTGCTGTAAAGGATGGGTAAGTCTTTGCTCCAACAGATACTTAAGAGCCTGATGATCAGTCTTGATGATGAAGTGGTGCCCCACAAGGTAATGCTTCCATTTAGTCACTGCTAACACTAAGGCCAACAACTCCTTCTCATAAACAGACATCCCTAAGTTCTGAGGAGAGAGGGCTTTCCTAATGAAAGCTATGGGGTGGCCCTGCTGCATTAACACTGCTCCAATGCCCACACCACAAGCATCAGTTTCTATCACAAAATGAAGTTCAAAATTTGGCATTTTAAGAACTGGTGCAGTAGTCATGGCCCTTTTGAGATCTTCAAATGCTAACTGAGCATTGTGACTCCATACAAAGCCTTCCTTCTTCAGCAACTGAGTTAATGGTTTGCAGATGATCCCATATCCCTTAATGAACCTTCTATAGTATCCAGTTAACCCCAAGAATCCTCGCAAGTCCTTAACTGTGCCAGGAGTAGGCCATGACTGGATACATTTCACCTTACTCATGTCCATACTCACTCCTTTCTCAGAAATAATGTGTCCCAGATACTCCACTGAAGTTTGAGCAAAAGAACATTTAGACTTTTTGCAATACAGCTGGTTGTCAGCTAAGATGCTCAACACAATCTTCAAATGCTGTGCGTGTACTTCCAGTGTAGGACTATAAACCAGAATGTCATCAAAGAAAATCAATACGAACTTCCTCATATAAGGTTGAAATATTCTGTTCATCAAAGATTGGAAGGTAACTGGTGCATTAGTGAGGCCAAATGGCATCACCAAAAATTCAAAATGGCCATGGTGTGTCTGGAAAGCAGTCTTAGGTATGTCTGCTGTCTTGACTCTCAGCTGATGATATCCAGCTCTGAGGTCTAGTTTAGACATGTACTTAATCCCATGTAGTTCATTCAATAGCTCATCAATGTTTGGGATAGGGAACCTGTCCTTGACAGTAAGTTCATTTAACTTCCTATAATCCACACATAGCCTCCACGTATTGTCTTTTTTCTTAACCAACAGCACAGGAGAAGCAAAAGGACTACAACTGTGCTTAACAATCCCATTTGTAAGCATTTCAGCCACCTGTTTTTCAATCTCAGATTTATGTGCGTGGGGGTACCTGTAAGGTTTAAGTTTGAATGGCTCTGCTCCTGGCTTCAAGGTAATCTGATGATCTAATTCCCTCTCAGGAGGCAGTCCTTGAGGGGTTTCAAACACCTGAGAGTATTGTTGCAAGACTGAGGCCACTTGTTCTGGAATATCCTCCTCTTGATTGCCCTGGGAGTCCACCTGTAGAGAGGCACAGCTCCTTTGCTTTTCTTGTATAAATGTTCTAAGATCTTTACCCCTTACTAGTTCCATCACAGGTTGGTTAATGAAGCCTTGGAGATGTAATAAGTCACCCCTGCTGCTAAGAGCAATACTGAGTGCATGGAAATCAAAAATGATGGGACTGAATTGACACATCCAGTCAACTCCTAAGATGATATCCCAGTTCCCTAACTCCATTATCTTCAGATCGAATTGGAACTGATAGTCCTGTATTAACCATCTAACACCTGGACAAATTGTGCCACTAGTGATGTCAGTGCCATCTGCCAAAGTTACAGTAAAAGGTCTGACTGTTTGATAAGGGAGCTGAAAAGACTTAGCCAATTGATAGTGTATGAAGCTGTCAGAACTACCAGTGTCCACCAGGATCTTGATAGGTATCCCCCTAAGTTGCCTAGTAGCAAAATAGATTTCCTCTGTATTGCTGCTGCTAGAGCATTCAGTGACACTTCAGCCAATTCTCCTACCCTCCCAGTCAGCTCATCTTGTTCTCCTTCCGCATCTTCGAATTCAGCTTCATCCTCTTCCTCTATACCTACACAGTTCAATCCCCCAGACTTATACTGGTGACCAATTCCAAATTTATCCCCACATCTATAACATAGGCCATGCTTACGCCTATACTGCATTTTCTCAGCTGAAATCCTACTCACTTCTCTGGATCTAGTGTCAACCTTCCTATTAGTAGGATCAATAGCAGGAAGTTTATAGGAGTTGAAATTGTTTTGGCTATTACTGTGGTTTCTAAACATCCCGTACTTAGGTTCAACCGCAGTCCTTCCTGAGGTCTTAGGTTGCTTGGACATGGTTTCCAGTGAGCATTCCTGCAATTCAGCAACCTCAAACGCTTTGGATAGAGTCTGTGGTTTGAACATTTTGACCATTGGTTTAATTTCATCCTTTAAATCACTA